GGCAATCCTCGCTTATCCTGAAAGCTTGCAACTGACATCAGCTTTGTTAAAAGAACAATACGTAGTGAAAATGTATAGCGAAATAGAAACTGAAATCCATGGGAACAGTTGCAGGTGATCGGAAGCAATTAACGTCAAATTGCATCGTATACATGGGGCTGAATTTAGGGGCAAACGCACATAGACAATACATTAAAACGTTACTTGAGTTGCACGAAACGTTTCAACTGGATAACGATAAACTAACCTTTATATGATTTATAATCAATTTCTTGTTATTTTGAATATAAATAATTTTATTGAATAACGTAAAGAAATTTTAACACAGGAAATCGAATCGAATCATCATCGTCATTATAAGGTCGTTGGAAACGCATCTCCATTTATCCTTATCCTGAGTTAATTTTCGCATTTCCCTAAAACTAGAACATTTCACGTCCTTAACCATTTACGAACAGTAATCTAGCCTAGGTCTACCTCTACTCCTCCTAACTCCTGTTTCCGCTTCAAATATGTCTCTAACCCTTCATGCCTGAGAAGGTGTATTACCTATCTATCTCGCCTATGTCTTATTAACTTCCATAGAGTCCTCTGAGTCCTCTGTGTTCCTATTCTTTCTAATACCTCTTCATTTCTAACCTTCTCTATTCACGGTATCCTCATCAATCGCCGGTAACATCACATTTCGAACGCTTCTAACCTTTTCTTTTCCACCGCGCTCACCGTCCATGTTTCACACCCGTACAGCGCCGCGCTCTAAATATACACCTTTAACAATATTTTTCGAATTTCTAAATTAACCGTTTGCGAGCATAGAAGTGTCTTCCTTTTATTGAAGGCGACTTTACCCTGCTCTATCCTCTGCTTTTTATCCTTACTACTCCTTCCGTCCTGACTTATCTGACTTCCTAGATATATAAAATCAGCCACTTCTTCTAATTTTTCGTTTCCTACATTCACTACTTTTTCTTTCCTTGCATACCAGTATTTTTGTTTTACTTTTATTAAGTTTCATACAGTACTATTTTGTCAACATTGCTTCCATTTAATTCAAAGCTGTCTCTAACTCCTCCTTGCTAAATGCTAATACTGCTACGTCATCTGTAAATCTAAGCATATTAATACTTTACCCTTGTATTTCTATCACTACAAATGTACTGTCTTTAATGATGTTATTCGAAGTGGTCTGTATTCTGTCGAAACTGTCAGACGCGGATCGCGATTTCGATCTTTTTGGATCTCATCAGCGCGTCGCAGGCAGCTCCGACAGAACACAGACCAACTTTTAACTGCTGTCTTAACAGTGCGTTTTAGAAAATACTACAAATGGCGCAGTAAACGCCATCTGTAGCACGATGATGTTGTTTGGGTCTTCGATCTATAATCAAAAAGTAACAGTGACAATGTGCTTCCTTGTTTGACTCCTTTCCTAATATTTACGTCTCTACGTTGTTTGTTCAAGCTCAATAAACCGAATACGAATCATTAAATTCTCTAACAATCCCATATCAAGAAGTGGAGGTGCGTGTCCAACTTTTTCGACATGTATCTACCCAAAATCTACTACAATATACTTAAAGGATTGAAAGGATAATACTATTTTATTCTTTTGCAACAAATTTCATGTCGTACACAATTTATTGAGTGTATTGACCCGACGAATAACAAAAAGTTACCGCGAAACATGCTAGAAAACAATAAAAATGTATTTCAGGGAAAATTTCACGTTTATTTTATGAAAATGTACACCGTTCCAAGGTAAAATTATCGTCTTCTCGATTGAAATATTATACAATTTACTGTAAATGTATAAAAACAATTTTTGTATACATAAGCAAACTTAAAACTGCAAATTAGTTCAATTTAATATTTCTTCACTCTTTATCAGCTATCTAGGAACTTCTTACATAATTCGTTAGGTAACAATTTTCTTATCATATCATTAAAATCAATTCGTTAGGTTTACAATCCGCCCTCATAAAATTAATGGTGCTATAAAGCCTTAGCGGGATCCTACACGAAACACTTAATTATCTACTTTACCATGTGTAGGTACTTTACAAGCGTTGTTACTATGTATACTATTTCAAGGAATATACCTTAGAGCAAGGACTTTGTATACTTTTGGTAGATATATAACTTTATATGGTATCATATCTACCAGTCTATGTACAAAAACTCTACAATTTGTAAAGTCGCACCTAAAAATAATATGTAAATGCAAATTATTAAACCTATATGGATGTGGGATGTGGGTTGTTCTAGCTCTAGGGAAATGCGAAGTTTAGCTCAGGACAGGAAAGAGTGAAGGACTGACGCCTTTATGATGATGAACTTTATATTACATAATTGATTGAATTTAGTGAAAAAGCAAACTATTTATCCCACAGTATAAAAATACATTATTGGCAACGTGGCATACGTATATTTTTTACAAAAATATTTTAAAACTAGCTGGGGTTTCGCTCAGGGAGTTTATATGAGATTGTGTGGTTGTTGGAATAAAAGGATAAACTTTAAAATATAATGATCTGGAATGTTCCCGAACATTCCACAACATTCCAGAATATTCTAGAATATTGTGGAATGCTCTCGAATACTCTCGAATATTCTGGTCTGTTCTAGAAATTTCTAGAGGGTGAAACTTTCAGCCCTTATATCTTCAAAAGCACGCCCATTTAGTTAAAAACGAGAACCTTCTTCGTATCGCTATTCATTTATGAGTTTTCGTCGATGTACAGTGTATACAAACCAATCCGAAAAAAAGTAATGGAAGACTAAAAACTTGTAACATCTAGAGGTATAAACAAAAATGCAATTGGTGTAGGCAACAATTATAGTTGCAATAAGCAAAGGAAATTTACCCCGATGACAGAGGTTACTGCATTAGAAGTAAAAAATTTAAATGATAATGTTTTTTTTCCCTTCTGATTTTAATTAGTTTGTAATAATAACTTATTTCACGCTGCTGCATATGAAAATCTCGCGTTGATTCTGGTAAAGCGCGCTAGCATTCTCCAGTCGATATTTGGCGCGACAGAGAGTTTGCTGGAAAACGGAAAAACAAAATAGCTGACACCTAGTACTGGAAAAGATGCAAATAGAGCACTAACCGCTGCTCTCTTTGCCACTTCATACACCTTTTCAGAGCATTTATGCAGTTCAAGAAAGCTTCTTATTAATGAAAAGCTCCTGGCGCGCACTTATTAAACGACCTTGTCCCAATTAACAAATACCCACGACGAATCGTCTTGCACCTTAACCGTCAGTAGAAAATCACTCGTTTGATGTATACGAGGTGCAACCCAATGATTTTTAAACATTGTACACTCAGGTAGGGTTGCAACTACAAGGAATGTCTAACCTGAAATATGTTATAATCTCATCACACAGTCGTCGTCAGTCTGACGACTGCCTGGGAACGCACCTTTCACTCTAGAGGAAACCTTCCTATTTCCCGAAAAGTAGAACAACTCTAGCTAGTTTGTAAGCAATAAACTAATCTAGGCCTTCCTCTGTCTTCTTTACTGATATTTCTAGTTCTAATATATCTAGGACAAGCCCCCCACGTCTGAGAAAGTGTCCAACAATCTTACCTCTAATCGTAATCCTAAAATGTAGCATCGTGCTACAGATGGCGTTTACTGCGCCATTTGTAGTATTTTCTAAAACACACTGTTAAGACAGCAGAAAAGAGTTGGTCTGTGTTCTGTCGGAACTGCCTGCGACGCGCTGATGAGATCCAAAAAGATCGAAATCGCAATCCGCGTCTGGCAGTTTCGACAGAATACAGACCACTTCGAATTACTTTATTCGATTAAGCTAACGTGCCTATCACGTTGAGGTTGACTACGCCGGGATTCGTTTTCAGCAAGTAGATATCCACACAAGTGGACCTTGTTGGAGCATACGTAATCCTAAAATGTAGCATCGTGCTACAGATGGCGTTTACTGCGCCATTTGTAGTATTTTCTAAAACGCACTGTTAAGACAGCAGGTAAAAGTTGGTCTGTGTTCTGTCGGAGCTGCCTGCGACGCGCTGATGAGATCCAAAAAGATCGAAATCGCAATCCGCGTCTGGCAGTTTCGACAGAATACAGACCACTTCGAATTATTTTATTCGAATTATTTTAATCTTACCTCTCTTTATGCTTAAGAACTATATAGTTGGGACGATTAATCGTTGCAAAATCCGCAATAAATTATATGTGAAAAGGAACGTATCTTCTTTCTTGTTTCTACTTGGGGCTGTAGTCATTTGCTTCGTTTATAACACGCCCTCGTTAAGTTAGGAAATGTTTCATGAGTATTACAGACAAAGTGATAAGAAATAACTGAATAATAGTAAGCAGTGCAGCGGTTAGAGGTTGCTTAAATACGAAAAAGATTAGGGTCGGCTTTATAACTGCCTGGTTGGAATCATATCTTTGAACAAGCGTCTTGCTTTCCGAAATTCCTGAGAATGTTGAACCTTCTTTAAAGTTCGATACTGACAACATGCTCAAATTCTGGTTGTTACACATTAATTGGTGTAATACTATTCCTTTTTCTTCATTGGTGTCCGCTGCAATTCCTACCTGGCATCTCTTTTCTATGTTTATTACCTACAAAGTCTGTCGGGAGTAAAAGTAGGCTTTCTATCAGCAAGCGCTCCAGTCTAGTTAATAAATTAAAAAAAAGAAGTAAATGTTCATTTTGACCGTCCTAACTATATCACCCTCTTCCTGTTGGAATAATGGTTTTTCTTTAGCCATTAAAAAACTAAACTTTGAGCTACACTCAAGCATAAATGAAATAATAATAAAGTTATTATGGCAATGCTTTGAAGTCAACCGTTTTATGACATTTAATAACCATCTCATACACACATATATGTATGTAGTGCAAATTTTATGATCTAATCCAAAGTAAAGCTTCTCTGTCGGAATTATGGTATCGACTAAGTCTCCGTGTATTTTTCGTCTCCTTTTTTATTACTTATTCTCTTTTATTGTCTGCAGCGACTGGCCTACATCCAACTGGTGGCCTCCTGGCCTCGACGCCGTCGGCGTCCTCGCCGTCGACGGCGACCGGGGTTGCGGTGGCGTCGCTGTCGGCGTCGTCAGTTCCTCCAAGTCAGTCCATCGACCTTCTGGCAAAACTCGGACTGCACAATAGCAGCTGGGAGGGAGTATCGTACGTTGACGATCCAGTGCTGCACAGACCCGTCTATTATTTGCAAGGTGAGTGCAAATAAAGAAACACTCGGTATACAGACACCAACTTGTGCATTTTTAAATAACTCTTGTGGGCACAAGATTATTTAATTAATATAACAGAAGAAGTAGGCAAATAGCCCATAAACTCTTACGTTTTTGATAGCCTCCTGATAATTAATAAATAATCAAAAGATGTACATTTACGTCAAAAAATATTAACTGGAGTTCCTTTTCCTTTTACGAACAATAATAAATACTAATGCATCCATTAGATTACTTCGGAAATGTAAAAGTCAATACCGAAGGGGTCCCACAAGGTTGATCAGGAGGCCCTGTCCTATGTAAATAAATGAATAACGACAGTTAATCGTTATTAGAAATAAAGCAAGAAGCCAATAAATTGACTAGATGTAGTAATGAGAACGGCCTCATCTTCAAGAGAATTGCATGCCTTTAAAATAAAGGTTTTCTTCTTGGAAGATCATCTGTCACATACAGATATATATGTACAGTACAACTAGAGTCATCTTTTTTCGCTGTAAAGCTTTTCTCATTATATTCTTAGACCTTTGACCTTTCGCTGCTTTCGTTTGTTCTTACATTCGTCGTTCATCGATTTAAGAAACCTTATTTCGACAGCCTTGAATTCTGCTTTGTTAAATTTATTATTTGTTACCTAAGATTTAGTTTCATGTACTTAAAACAATACTGGAGACCATGATCTTGCAAAATTTGCTTAATCGGCAAAATTGCACATCTAAGTGACTGCACAATATCGTGTAACTATTAGTTTTAATGACTCCACAACGATTCCAATTCCATAAATAGATATTTCAACACCATTACATAGTTTGAAATTAGCACGCAGTTATTTCATATATTTTATGTCGTAGAACTATTGTTCTAAAAATAAAATGTCTTTTTTGCTGAAAGTTAATTCAAATTCCAAATGTGGCATTTTTTTATACATTAAATCTTATTTATCACTATAACAAGCTTTGTGAAATTCTATATGAGTACTTATTACTAAGTCTAAAAACCAAACCTTTGTAACGAGAAACAAATTTTATTTATAATAAAACCGAAAAGAACCATGAGCAGATGTATTGTCTTCAATTTATGTTCGACCCTATTAAGTTCATTCAAAGGTGCACTTGTATAACTTCACTTTTAACCACAAATCAATGATTTCGACACACGTTGAAATATTCAAGGTTCAGTCATCACTCAAATAGTTAAGTAACATTAATAAGTTATAGGGGCAGTGAATTGAAATGAAAGCAATTTCACGCATTCAATTTATTTTCCCTTTTGGATTTCAGTAAAATTCAAAGTTAATTTTCAAAATTCGGAAACTATAGTTTTTGCTTCCACAATTAAACTGCTTCAAAAAAAATAAGTCTGATGATTTTCTAATGTTAAGTTGAAGTAGCAGAAAGTTTTGTAACTTCTATTTTATACAAAAGTTCAAACCTTTACTATGAATAAGTTAATTACGTATATCTTCTGAAAATATTGCTTTGTATTGATTTATATTATACGATTTCACGAATTCAAAATTGCCAATTATTCAAAAAATTATGATATCTGGAATTTGCACTGGATTTATTTTATAAAGTTTAAATAAACATATGTTGAAACTCTCTCTTTTTCATAATTTTAGTTTTGTTAGTTTCAGAAAGAATTATATTTCTCGGTGTCCATTTTTAAATAACAATCTCCACAAACCTACAAAAATCAAATTGATCTAAACTTTGAGCTCTTCCAAAATTTTTACCAAAAATTATTGAAAAGTATCTTGTCGCTATCATACCTGAATAAATTTGGTTTAACGTTTTAACTAAATGAAAGTATTAATTACTGCGATTCCGATTTATCATTTCTAGGTGTAGGTTTTTCGTGCATTAGCTGATACGAAAGCTTTTAGTGAATTCAAAGCTCCGATAAAGCCGTTGAAACGTGAAAGAGAGCTTTTAATTTAACGTTTAATTGGGTTGAAACAGCGTACGTGAAAATTCAGAGTTCGTGAACCAGCATTATGTGTAGTTACTTCAGAAGCTTTGCTACTATATGTATACTATTTCAAGGAATATACTTAGGAGTAAGGACTATGTATACTTTTAGTAGATATAACTTTATATGGTATCACAATATCTAGCTATCTTATGTTCAATATGAAGATATTTAACTCACTTAAAAAGTATTGGATAGTTTAAATAAACTGTAACTTCATATTACATAATTGATTGAATATCGTGAAAAAACAAACTTTATTGCACAATATAAAAATACATTCATAACTTGGCAACGTGGCATACGTTTATTTTGTACAAAAATATTTTAAAATTAGCTGGGGTACACGGCTTCGCTCAGAGAGTTTATATGAGATTATAAGGTACTTCGAATAAAAGGATAAACAATAATGATCTGGGGTGTTCTCGAACATTCCACAACATTCCATAGCATTCTGGAACATTCCAGAACATTCTGGAATGTTGTGGAATGCTCTCGAATACTCTCAAATATACTGTTCTAGAAATTTCTAGAAGGCAAAACTTCCAGCCCTTATATCATTAAAAGAACGTCCTTCAGGTAAAAACGGTAACCTTGTTCATGGGTGGGTGATAGAGGGTTACCGCACCATAAAACTCCCTTGATTGTACCGAGACTTATTTCTGAGTTTTAGCCGTTAAAATGTGAACGAAAGAGCTTTTAATTTAACATTTAATTGGGTTGAAACAGCGTACGTGAAAATTCAGAGTTCGTGAACCAGCATTCTGTTGCGACAAAGTTAAATGACAGGTTGGGCGTGAAATTCAATTGATTCGTTAAAGGGGAAACGCCAGTGCAGAATGGCGACTCTATTATTGCACACTTGACTCGAATTCAAAATGATAGAAGTTCATTAGTTGTTTTCAGTTCGAGTTGAAACTGGAGCTCGAGATCAGCAGGAGCATTGAAACAAACAATACAACTTTTCTGCTGTTTAATCAACTTCGTTCTCTACATATAGGTGCATGGCAATTGTTTAAGTAAATGCACTTAATGACACTAAACACCAGGGCAGGTGTTCTTTACTCTAAAAATAAAACAAAGTGTCATATTATTTATGGTCATTGCATTATTGCATCTAGTGGCCTTTAACCTCTGGTAGGTATGTGTTCATTGAAATGACTAGATACCTACAGAGTGTCCAATAACAACTGACTGCATAAATAAATTATAGAAGACTTAAAGACGTTTAAATGAAAATCTTTTATTTGGTGCATGATCAAAAAAAAATTTTGTACCTTTCTTATTGATCTGACGACGTATTAACGATTGTATTGGGTGTGTTCCGAAATATAACCCAGCATACTGATTAGTGCTGATGACGTAATGAATCGATGCTATACTGTTGATTCCTTCCAAAATATACTGGCCAGTGCATTGATGTCAAATTGACGCCATATTGACAATAGTGTTTGTGCTCGTTTACAATAATTTTGCTCTAAAAGTTATTACTGTTTCTTTCAATAAAAAATTCCTCAAAGTCTGATGCACAAACGCCCGTTTGATATACTACTACATCACATTTGTCTCACCAATACAATATGGTGGCACACCAGTACAATATGGCGTCGATTNAGTGCATGATCAAAAAACAAATTTTGTACTTTTCTTTTAATGATCTGACGACGTATTAAGGACTGTATTGGGTGTGTTCCGAAATATAACCCAGCATACTGACCAATGCTGATGACGTAATGAATCGGCGCCATACTGTTGATTCGTTCCGAAATATACTGGCCAGTACATTGATGTCAAATTGACGCCATATTGACAGTAGTGTTTGTGCTCGTTTACAAAAATTTTGCTCTAAAAGTTATTAAAGCTTCTTACAATAAAAAATTCCTCAAAGTCTGATGCACAAACGCCCGTTTGATATACTACTACATCACATTTGTCTCACCAATACAATATGGTGGCACACCAGTACAATATGGCGTCGATCTATGACATCATCAGCACTGGCCAGTATGTTGGGTTATATTTCGAAACACATCCATTATATTATCAAATGGGCAGAGTATAAAGCTAAGAACTTGATAAAAATAAGGAAGTATTTTACTCATTGATGGATACATTAAGTAGCAACTTATCGCCATGTACGGTATGGTCAAAAACTCAATCTTCAGTATAAGAGAAATTGTCGGAGTCACATTAAAAATATTTCGCTTGGTATTATGTTTACATATAGAGGGATTTGTTACTTAACAAATAATGCAATAAAGGTCCCTCTCCCTGTGATAGATACTGATAGCATTTCCCATTTACGTGTCTCTTTTATTTCTAATTGTAAATGGAATAAACTTCAGAAGGGAAGTGTTTCCCTCTTCCAATGATATTTGATACCGTCGCAAAGCTATTGTTTGTTTACGAGGGTGAGCTTCACACTAAAATCTACTTTCTCGTATTAGTCCACTAAAGATAAGCAACATATAAAATGTATAAGGTGAAAATAAAATCGTTTCTATACTACTTCGACATAAAAGGAATTGAGACCAAAGAAAAAGTTCTTGACCGGTGATGATTACCTATTCATTGGGCAAACATCTTCCAAAGGAAATATGAAAATTATTGAAATTGCCAAGTTAATGATGATAGGTTACAAAATAAATCATCACTCATTTTTTTGTTGTTTCTCATAGATAACTTGCGCCTAGCAAATCATTTTAGAGCAGATAACAACTTCTTGATAAGTTATTTAGTTTTCTTACGGAAAGAGACCAAAAGTTAAATTTGTTATGCAGCAATTATAGTTCCGCATAAATTCGAAATTAATGATTTGTGGAAGGTCTTTGAAGACTTTCTTGATTGCGAATGTTACCTATAGTGCAACAAGAAGACCTAACATCACCAGGTTTGATTCGTTAGTGTGTTATCGAAAATTTTAAAACATGCAGGACAAGAGGTTAGTTTCAGCTAGTTAGTCACATTTACGAGGCGGGGAAACTTCCGGAGAATTATAAACGGAACGTGAT